AACCTTGACCTTTACTGACCTTTGACCAGTTAAGTCAGGAAATGCCAACACTCCCGTACAGAAAGGTGAGCTGTGGTTGAAGTGCCAAATGTAGGCTAAAGTTACTGGGACGTTAACCCTCCCCCCCTTCCCCACCCCCCTTCCCAACATGATCTTAAGTTAAACTGGACTTTAACCCCCAACATGACCTCAAGTTTAAATGACTTCTAGTTCAACGGAATGTTAAACTCCCAATATGATCTCAAGTTGAACTGGATGTCAAACCCTTAACATCACCCCAACTTAAACGGGATGTTAAACCCCCTAACATGACCCTAAGTTAAACGGGATGTTAAACCCCATCATGACATAATTGATGAGATGTTAAACCCCAGGTCACAATGACCAGCCTTGAGTTAAACCACCAGCCAGATGTTCTGAGAGTTGTCAGGATGTCGGCGCCATATCACGTGATACGTGTAACAACGCCCTTTTTTCTTTGTACTCTGGGAGGGCGATTCTAAACCGTGCAGGTATTTTTATTTATCTTTTATTATTTTTTTCTCTGATCGCTGAAGGTGTTTTCTCTGATCGCTGAAGGTGTTTTCTCTGATCGCTGGAGGTGTTTTCTCTGATCGCTGGAGGTGTTTTCTCTGATCGCTGAAGGTGTTTTCTCTGATCGCTGGAGGTGTTTTCTCTGATCGCTGGAGGTGTTTTCTCTGATCGCTGGAGGTGTTTTCTCTGATCGCTGAAGGTGTTTTCTCTGATCGCTGGAGGTGTTTTCTCTGATCGCTGGAGGTGTTTTCTCTGATCGCTGAAGGTGTTTTCTCTGATCGCTGGAGGTGTTTTCTCTGATCGCTGAAGGTGTTTTCTCTGATCGCTGGAGGTGTTTTCTCTGATCGCTGAAGGTGTTTTCTCTGATCGCTGGAGGTGTTTTCTCTGATCGCTGAAGGTGTTTTCTCTGATCGCTGAAGGTGTTTTCTCTGATCGCTGGAGGTGTTTTCTCTGATCGCTGGAGGTGTTTTCTCTGATCGCTGAAGGTGTTTTCTCTGATCGCTGAAGGTGTTTTCTCTGATCGCTGGAGGTGTTTTCTCTGATCGCTGAAGGTGTTTTCTCTGATCGCTGAAGGTGTTTTCTCTGATCGCTGAAGGTGTTTTCTCTGATCGCTGAAGGTGTTTTCTCTGATCGCTGGAGGTGTTTTCTCTGATCGCTGAAGGTGTTTTCTCTGATCGCTGGAGGTGTTTTCTCTGATCGCTGAAGGTGTTTTCTCTGATCGCTGAAGGTGTTTTCTCTGATCGCTGAAGGTGTTTTCTCTGATCGCTGGAGGTGTTTTCTCTGATCGCTGAAGGTGTTTTCTCTGATCGCTGAAGGTGTTTTCTCTGATCGCTGAAGGTGTTTTCTCTGATCGCTGAAGGTGTTTTCTCTGATCGCTGGAGGTGTTTTCTCTGATCGCTGGAGGTGTTTTCTCTGATCGCTGGAGGCGTTTTCTCTGATCGCTGAAGGTGTTTTCTCTGATCGCTGGAGGTGTTGGTTCACAGAGGCGATACCAGCAACAAAACAGGTTATGATGACGTTTATAGGTGTACCCTCCTCATTAGGGTTTGGTATTAAAGCAACATTGGACAGTGTGAGAAGCGTTGTGAAAACCGAATACATGATTTGACCAAACCGAGTACATGATTTGACCAAATCGAATACATGCATTAATCAAATCGAATACATGCACTGACCAATCACACGGCGAGTTGACTACCCACATTGCCCGCCCCCCACCCACGAGTACAGGTAGGATATAGGAGTAGACAGGTCACTGATTAAAAAGGTAACTGATTCAATTTGTTTCGTGTGTAGGATATTCTCAATCCGAGTTTTTAATTCATTAAAACACACTTTCACTTTTTATGTTTGATTGTACTTGTTAAACTTTGAATTAACTTCTAAATCTTTCCAAGTTGATTGACATCTAAAGAAAACTTACAACATAATTATTTTACAAACTGTATGAACTAAGTTAAACTAAACACGAGATTGAAATGTCCGTTTAAGAATGAATAAAAATAAACAAACGATAACAATAGCAAAAAATCCCTAGATAATCTAAATTGAGTTTTAATTTAACATCTTAACTATAAAGTTAATCTATCAAAGACAGAAACGAATGAAACAGTTTGGTTAAAACCAGTAGCGTACGCAGGGGGGGGGGGGGAGCAGGGGGAGCGGCCGCTCCCCCTCTGGCCATTTTTAGCAAAGTGGCGCCTTTTTGGAAACATTTTAAACTCTAAGTTTTAAACATTGATATTTGTTAAAAAATTATATTTGGTCGGCACATTTGAAACGTAAATCTCTGTGAATATTGTTTTTGCAATTACCAGTAAAAGGTGTGTGAGCAATACAGTGATCTAACCCAAACCTTCTCATTATGTTGAAAAATTATCTTTAAAGAACACAAAAAGTCAGTAGTAAATTAAAAAGTGCATGATCTGAAATGTGAGACCGATATTTTAGTTATATGTAGGCTATTATTACAAATGTCATACCTCTACATTGAAAAGCTGGCTTTTATACCAACTCTGATTTTAATACTTTCATTATGCTGTAATACTTTAGCATTTATAATGACAATATATTTAATTCTGATTGTAGACAAATTATTTTTGTAAAATCAAATAGTGTTAAGCTACTTTATTAGATTCTAAAGTAATTATTGATTTGTTTTTATATTAATAATAAAATGTGTAGACATATACATATTTATATTTAGATATTGATTATTTCCCCTTTTCGCTAGTCTTAATAGATGTCCCATTATTTTTTGTTTCGTCGGCCTACATTGTGTGTTTTTTTTTTAATTTCTTCAGAGTGCTACTTTAAATTTATTTTACATCATATCGAAGCAATAGCATATATAGAAAATATTACAAATTCGGCGCCTTTTTTTGCTATTTCCGCTCCCCCTACAACCAAAACCTGGATACGCCTCTGGTTAAAACTTATCTTATCTTACATGCTTCCGAAGCTCTATATATTTGGTAATATTTACATGTGTTCTTGTATTTCAAACGAAATAACTGTGTTCAATAAATATGGGGCTGCTATCTAATGTACACTTATCAGTTCTTATCGGTCCTTTCACCTAAAATACATTCTCTTTGTTGATTGTGTACATTTTATGATTTTATGAACATCAACTCTTACACTTGTATTTATTCTTTTATACTACAAAATAGTTTGACCGTGTGGTTTAGAAAAACATTGTTTAAAATGCAGAAACCGAACCGTAAATGAAGGATTCACAAATTATCAATAACTCACACGTAATTTCACTATAACCCAATTCTTAACCTACATCGTAACCATCTTTTAACTCTAAACTCTATCCATATCCGATTCCACATAGTTACCCTAATCCTAACCCATATCCAGACTCTCCCAGTAATCCTCATCCTGACCCACATCTTTACCCTCTAACCCTCACCCTAACCCCCACTCACCCCACATCTTTACCCTCTTACCCTCACCCTAACCCCCACTCACCCCACATCTTTACCCTCTAACCCTCACCCTAACCCCCACTCACCCTAACCCTAACCCCACTCACCCTGACCCACATCTTTACCCTCTAACCCTCACCCTAATCCCCACTCACCCTGACCCTCACCCTAATCCCCACTCACCCATACACAATACATCATGTACTGCAACACTTGCCATAAATCAAGCCTTTCTCACACACACACACCCGAGTCATGTTTCTCCTGCTCCATCAGTCAGAGAGCGGTTCCGTCTTCATCACCGCTACACTTACTTCTTGCTGTAGCTTCACACTAATGCTAAGACAGCGGCTCAACGACTATTTCTTCATCATTCAAGCTAAATTCAGTTTCCTAACAAAAAAAACACCCACTGATTTTGACATCTATAAACAACAGAATTTAAATATTTTGGAGTTATTTCCCCCTTTCAGATATTTATTCTCTCTATAGTTATCTCCCCCATACAGTCGGTTACTCCCTACAGACAATTATGCTCCCTACATCCAGGTATTCCCCGACAGTTCCTTTCCTACCTCCCGCCACTTTGTTCGCGTACAGTCAGATATCACCCCTACAGTCAGTTATCCCCTCTTCTGCTAGTTATCCCCCCCCCTACAGTCATTTACCTACCCCCCCCCCCCCGACAACCAGTTATCCCCCTACAACCAGTTATCCCCCAACAGCAGTTATCCCCCCCCCCCCCCCCCACTTTAGCCATTTACCTACCCCCCCCCCCCCTACAGACTGTTATCCCACTTTCAGCCAGTTATCCCCCCCCCCCCCACCTCTACAGAGAGTTATCCCCCTTACAGCCAGTTCTCCCCGTCTACAGCCAGTCTGCATTATGTAACCTTGTTTTGTTCTATTTATAGACCGATTCATCCACAAGCCGAGCCACAGCATTTGTAACAGAGACGCGAGTCAAAGAAAACAGGAGGGCAAAAACTGGGCTGAAATGGATCCGATGATGAGGTGGATCGGCCAAAAGTAGGTGTCGGCTGCCGGCTTCATCTAATTCAGGATATCAAACGTTCGTTTCATCGTCTACATCAAAACAATCGTCTGCGTGCGGTTGGAAGCGAAACAATGAAAGAAAAAAAAACATTTTATTCTTTGTATCAATATCGTGCTGGCACGTTGGTTTAAATAAAAATAGAAAGTGTATCTGAACATCAGGATGTTGCAGTGCGCTATCTCCAAGTCTAAGTTCATATACAGGGTTCAATTATATCGAATTAGTTACCACAAAAGGAGGATAATTTAATGAGGTCTTGAGCTAAGTCAATCGCAGGAACAAGTACAATGTAAAACGAACATTACAAAACATGTGGGTATTTTTTACAATGTGACTAGGGGATGATTAAAATAAGGGAGATAATGAGAGGGAAGTAACTCAGCCATACCGAGGGGACGTCACGACTCGTGTTTAAACCTACAGGCCCATACAGAAACAGGATATAAATTAACGGGTAACTTTAATCCCGCGCCATGACGTCACGTGCCACTAACGAAAACGAAAGTCGAAGGTGCGCACAGGTGCACACCCTCCTCCACCAGGCCGCGCCGTCAGATACCTCCACCCGCTCCCCGCCCTCACGTTTCTCCACCTCTCCACCTGCCCTCTCCACACACCTCCCTGCACCCCCCACCCCGCCTCCCCCACCAGGTAACGCTTCCCAAACTTCCTCCTTCGTTACCCTCGACCACGGTGCTGTCTGTTACCTACCCCCACACAGTGTGGAGGCGCTAGTGTCGACTCACACACATACCCACCCAGCGGCTCCCCCACCCCCGACGATTCCAGACCGACATTCCCCATCCGCACCGTTCAATTCATATTCCTGGAAGCCCGGCCTAGCTCTACAGACATCAAGGGCTGATAACTCGTACAATAAAACTCAAGCCCCGACTTCAGAACATCCCGGTGATTTTCAATCTTGTTCAGAAAAAGCCTCAAACATTCAAAATGTGGATTTCTCGATTCCGGATAATCAAGGAATCTTTTTAACGAAACAATTAAACACAACAGGTGACGATAGCGGTTTTTCTTCACACTTTACCCGTGATTTAAAACTCAAAGAACCAAAAACATTGGTCTTCTACTTCCGGTCGAAAAGTCTCTTCAAGGACGAGCGAACAAGCCGGCAGAAGTGTGGCCGGCTCAAGGACGAGCGAACAAGCCGGCAGACGTGTGGCCGGCAGCACGAGAGCGGCTCGTCTCTGACACAACGCCGGCTCACCGGCCGATCGATCCACGCGGCCAGTCAGCCGGTTCCACGCCTCACCCACGGGGCAGACGGTCACGTGACCAGCGGTTCGAACCCTGCAGGAGCAGACCCTCGACCCAGCCGTGGTGTTTGTGTCACCGTCAATGGTGTCATTCGTGAGACACCCTCACCCAGGGAAACACCAATCACCCGTCAATCACTGACCAACACCGCCATAGACTCGGAAACTACTGTGAACTCATGTTCAGATACCAGTGACGTGTATCTTAAGACCTGTGACGTAGGGACTGAATTATCAGATTTTCCTCAACTTTTTCAACCAAAACATAACTTCGGTGAAAATTCGTTTTTGGATATTCCACTTAACGAAAAACAAGATACATGTGTTTTTTCTTCTTCATCCGGTGAACACGAGAAAAATACCCCGTTAAATTTTTCTCTTCCTTGTATTAGGGATGTTAATTCAGAAGATATATCTGGATCTATAAATAGCATTAACGAGGACCCTGTGAATTATTGTGATTGTGATGTACTGTGTGGTTGTGCTTTCAATCTTCAATCCACCCACCAACCCCCCGGGGGTGGAGACTTGCCGCAGGAGGGGGGTAGCTTGTACCAGGTAGGTTTACCCTGTCCACGAGACGTACCTGAAGATAATCCTGTAAATGAAGAGTTAAAGAAACTCAGTGAAAATCTTCTGACTCGTGCCAAGGATATTTATAGCCCGGCCGAGGATTTACTAGTGCCAGAGACTGTGAGTGAGGATTGGAATATTTCTTGCAGTCACGGTACACGTTTATCTGGATTACCTAACTGCTTACTGTCGCATGATATAAATCACGTGGAGGATAATTACTGGAAGGGTAAGATTTCTTTTTATCATTCAAATACTCATCTGATACACTTACCATTCAAGTACTCATTTGATACACTGTATCATTCAAGTACTCATCTGATACACTGTATCGTTCAAGTACTCATTTGATACACTATATCATTCAAGTACTCATCTGATACACTGTATCATTCAAGTACTCATTTGATACACTGTATCATTCAAGTACTCATCTGATACACTGTATCGTTCAAGTACTCATTTGATACACTGTATCATTCAAGTACTCATCTGATACACTGTATCATTCAAGTACTCATCTGATACACTGTATCATTCAAGTACTCATCTGATACACTGTATCATTCAAGTACTCATCTGATACACTGTATCATTCAAGTACTCATCTGATACACTGTTGTAAACACTAGTAAACAATCAATTCTTTTAGAGTTCAAGTCATTGATAATTTATTTAGCACGCTAAATCGACCCCGTCCAGTAGTGTAGTAGACAAAAACTTAACGTTTGATCGCTAAACTTTATACGTGACGAAGATATCCGCACTTATCCCAATATTTTTACAATTATTTCACCACTTTCACTAGATGAGCTTCAACGGTCGCTTACGTCACTAATCACTCTCAAGGAGCGTAGACTTTTAACTTAATTAAATGCTGGGAGGAGGAAAACTGTGGCTTAGAAACCGGAAAGGCAAAGTCCCCCCCCCCCCTCTTTTCCTCTCCAGTCTTTTGAGTGGGTAAAAAGGGAAGTTGGTAAATGTATTTTAAAAAAAACAACAACTCGCAACTCGCAATTCGATTCTCCAGGATTGAAACGTGTTATTGTAAACAAATCAAGTTGTTTCTGTATCTCTCACATGCTGATGTCGTGTCGAACTAGAGTCATGCTGGGATAGGTAATTTGTGCAGGGGGGGGGGGGGGTATTAAGAAAATTCAAGGAAAGTGTAGCAGTGTTTTAAAGGGATGTAGAAGAAAGTATACACATCACACAGACTCGCTTGCGTGTAAAACTAGGACCGGCTCTGCCGGTGAAATACGAAACTTGATGTCTTTGATCTCCCACTGCCGTCCTATTGTTCACCTTTATAAATTTAATTAACCTCAAGACACAGTCGGTGATTGCCTCTTCCTGCCTTCACAAATTAAAAAAAGTTAATTAAAAAAGTTGTAAAACTTCATGAAAGTTTAGCACAGGTAGGAAAGGTATTTTCAAGGTGTGGAGACGGTATTCAGGGTAGAGGTGTGAAATGCTCCCAAATGAAGCACTACCAACATGCAAGGTAGAATCCTGTATAAATATACTCACTTTCAAGTATTTTTCAAGACGTTTCTTTCTTAAATTAAAAAAAAACTCTTCTTGCTTTTAAGTTTCGTTTCACTTTCCTGAAGTGAAAACATATTTTTCACACATTCATTAAATTTGTGCCCGTATGTTTAAAATAATTGTCACATTCCTGCACTAATTAACTTCCCTAAACATTTAAGAATATTTTTTAGACTAGCTACTGTAACTTGAGCATATAATTATAGAGCAAACATTAATGATCATATAAATTAAGTAAACAACCCTTTGAACATTCGGGTCCATAGGGCAGGTGACGTAGAGTTAATCTGAATCTACGACGTTGGAATATGAAGCGATTGTGTGGTCAGCACTATACCCAGCCGCCTTTATCGTCGAATGGTAGAGTGTTCGAATGCTAACCCGAAAACCTCGAGTTCAAATCCAGGCTCGAGTCCGTAGAACTGCCCTGAGTCCACTCAGCTCTAATGGGTACCCGAGTCACGCTTGGGTAAGTAAAGGGAGTTATACAGATCATATCATCTTATACAGTTAGCAGGCCAGTAAGAAATAACTTTAAGAAAACACTCAGTGGGAAACTAGATGTAATAAACACACTTGACTAGGCTATACAGCAGAATAAAAATACCTGAGTTATTTTTCACGCAATTCCACCCTCCCCTCTCTAAACATAACATCACAACTCCCTAGCGTATTTTATTGTTTAAATAAACTACAAAGAAAAACATGCAGTTCATTAGTAAGTGACGTCACATCCGTACTGAATGAACCGCCTTTAACGCTCCCAAAATAAGAAATCAAAGCCGTGATAGAAAAAAAAAAAAAGCCAAAAAGAAAATCTTTACGATTTGAAGCTTACTGCTGCATCTGTTTAACTGGTTGATTTTTTTTCCTTACTGCTTCTTTTTTAAATTACTTCTGCCTTTTATATAAAAATAAACCGGTAGTGATCTCCCCTAAACTTTCTCGAATATTCTTATATAAAACAACAGGGGATGGTAACTGGGGATATAGTTATGATTTTTAATCCATTTTAAATACTGAAACTTTTAAAAATAGAATAGAATCTCAGTAAAAAACAATTGCGCACCAAGCGAATGCCTAATAAAGGTGTGTATAATAGTGTGCAATAGTATTAGTACTTAATAAATTTACATTAGTTTTTTGAGAAATCGGAAGTAGCGTAAATTACTACTTCCGGTCAACTGAAATTACTCAAAATTTAACAGAAGGTAGAGAATTAGATCTTTTACTTACATGTGAAATTTCATTTATCTATCTGAAATAGTACTCAAGTTATAGGCTTTTGAAAAATTCAAAGTAGAAAAAGTACCACTTCCGGTTGTCGGAAATCGCTCAAAAGTTGATACGGATCTACGATTTTGATATAATACTTATATATGAAATTTCATCAACCTAGCTGTAACGGTACTCAAGTTATCGTGTTTACACACGGACACACAGACACACACACAGACACACACACACACAGACATACGGACAAGATTGCAAAATTATGTTTTTCCGTATCAGTGAGGTGTAAAACGTCGAGATTTGTAAAAATCTCGATTTTTTTTTTTGCACGATTACAATACTTTCTCTATACTACGTATATACGAGAAAGTAAAAATCATGCACCTAACACTTTTTAAAAATTCTCCTCACTCAAATACAAGCACACATCTTATTTACAAATAAACTTTAAAATCAGTCAAATAAACGAACTTGAACAACCGATTGTTCCCCAACGTTTATCTACCTTGAACAGTTGGCCAGATTTCTGTGCGTGTGTAAGCTAAACAAGCAAAGAACCGCACAGCTGGTGGCACTGAGATAGCTGGTTCAGCTGGTGGCACTGAGATAGCTGGTTCAGCTGGTGGCACTGAGATAGCTGGTTCAGCTGGTGGCACTGAGATAGCTGGTTCAGCTGGTGGCACTGAGATAGCTGGTGGCACTGAGATAGCTGGTTCAGCTGGTGGCACTGAGATAGCTGGTTCAGCTGGTGGCACTGAGATAGCTGGTTCAGCTGGTGGCACTGAGATAGCTGGTGGCACTGAGATAGCTGGTTCAGCTGGTGGCACTGAGATAGCTGGTTCAGCTAGTGGCACTGATATAGCTGGTTCAGCTGGTGGCACTGAGATAGCTGGTTCAGCTGGTGGCACTGAGATAGCTGGTTCAGCTGGTGAGATAGCTGGTTCAGCTGGTGGCACTGAGATAGCTGGTTCAGCTGGTGAGATAGCTGGTTCAGCTGGTGAGATAGCTGGTTCAGCTGGTGGCACTGAGATAGCTGGTTCAGCTGGTGGCACTGAGATAGCTGGTTCAGCTGGTGGCACTGAGATAGCTGGTTAAGCTGGTGACACTGAGATAGCTGGTTCAGCTGGTGGCACTGAGATAACTGGTTCAGTTGGTGGCACTGAGATAGCTGGTTCAGCTGGTGAGATAGCTGGTTCATCTGGTGGCACTGAGATAGCTGGTTCAGCTGGTGGCACTGAGATAGCTGGTTCAGCTGGTGGCACTGAGATAGCTGGTTCAGCTGGTGGCACTGGGATAGCTGGTTCAGCTGGTGGCACTGAGATAGCTGGTTCAGCTGGTGGCACTGAGATAGCTGGTTCAGCTGGTGACACTGAGATAGCTGGTTCAGCTGGTGGCACTGAGATAGCTGGTTCAGCTGGTGACACTGAGATAGCTGGTTCAGCTGGTGACACTGAGATAGCTGGTTCAGCTGGTGGCACTGAGATAGCTGGTGGCGCTGAGATAGCTGGTTCAGCTGGTGGCACTGAGATAGCTGGTTCAGCTGGTGGCACTGAGATAGCTGGTTCAGCTGGTGGCACTGGTGGCCTACATAATGTAATGTTATTTGAGCTAAAATTAAATATTTATATCATAGGTCTCTATAAATAGTGCATCTAGGATACTCGATAAGTTTAGGGGTGGGGGAGGGAGGGGAGTGCTCACACGTATGTAGTTGTTAACATAACTTGGTCCGTTTTGATAAAAATAGACCCACACTGTCAACATAGAACCCTGTCATTGAATGTCGCTCTTAAGCAATACTGTCAGTGTCATTTAAATGTCACTGTTGTGTAACACTGTGTCACTGAAATGTCAATCTTATGTTGTAAAAATAATTACACAATAACCTAAGGTTATTCATCTCCCATATATAAACGATTTTTCTTTAAAAGTAAAGTAACACTACGTGTGTTTGTGTGTATGTGTGTAAATATGCAATACCCCTCACTCTACCACGCACCCACTCTCGCCACACACTATTTTATATGCTTTGTCAGCACGCAGTTCTATAAATAAATTCATCATTTGTATGCTCAGCGACTATTTTCATGGTTCTGATATTGAAAATAATTTGACCTACTTAATAGCTCATTCGGTGAAATGTATGATGTTTGAGTGGTATCGCTAGTGTAAATAATCGAATTCTTGTGAAATTTTGCTGATGATTTTATTTACGCCATAGGCGTACAGTATGGTGTAAGTTCAGGTTTAATATTATTATATCATCCCTCTCTAAAAGTAGAATGTCACATTACGTAAGATTATGCTACACCTCACTGCAACACTGCAAGGGGACACTGTGTCACAAAACGTCACACTAACGTGATCCCGTCACACTGTAACATATCAGTTTACTGTATTGTCACCCATATGTCTCACAACCCAACTTTCTGCAGGTTGATGGGCAGCTAACTACCAGCATCCCCCACGCACACAAGCCCCCCCCCCCCCACACACAACCGCCCCCCCCCCCCACTCACCATTCCACATTGGTTCATATGTCTATAAAAACAATTGCTCCGCCCCAGCGTTTATAAGTTGACAATTTACCCCCCCCCCCCTCCCTCTGTCGACATCTGTTTTGTTGTCAACAAACCAATGATCTCATGTTTCCTCGTCTCCCCGCCCCCCCCCCCCCCACCCGCCATTATACAAAAACAAACCAAAAACATTTCTAAACTCCTGTGTCTCCCAGCCCAATTACTTTCTGATCCATTAGGCGTTAGTGTCGTCTTTAGTCGAAATTCTAAATCTTTAACAGTCAGGAACGAGAACTGAAGGAAAAAAAATATATTTCATCTGTGTTTATCTCCCTTGTGTGTATGCATTCATCATTGGATGTCCATAACAGTCACAAATGTGACAACGTCTGTTACGTTAGTCTGTCACATTTTATAAAAGAGGCATTAAATACTAACAACTCGGTAAACAATAACTTTAAGAAGTGTATAATTAAGCGATTAAATAAAAAATTAAAAAAAATAAACACCCCCCCCCCTTGCGAAATACTGAATTACGATACTAAACAGCTATCAGTGAATACAGGGGGGGGGTGCATTTTATTATTAGCTGTTTCAAGTACACTTCACATTCCGGATAAAATATTTGATTGATTTAACCAGGAAATGTTAATTTTAATCATGCGTCATGTCGCCTGAATGTGTTGTTTTATTCGGCGTCGTGACATTTTCAACTCTTTCCTTCCCCACCCCCACCCCTACCCTAATCAAACGTTTCTTTTGCCTGTCCACTATGCTAGCAGAAGGCTAATCGTGTTTCTGTATCTGCTACTCACCACCCCCCCCCCGTCACGTGACTTTGAAACAAAGCCGTGTTATATCGTACCTCCAACTTACACCCCCACCCTATTCCCAACCCCACCTCTTTCAATTTCAGATAACGTCAAAACAATGTCACGAGTTAAGTGTGGGGGGGGGGGGGGATGGGGTGGAAACAGTAGAGCGCAGTCACACAACTTGCTTTGTAGATATTGATAGATACTTCACGATAAGGGGCTATTGAGGAAAAACAAAAGGGACGTAATTCCAAATGTCAACACGAACGTAGTAGTGTCCCCTTTACCCAATTTCCCGTAACGTTATGACTCACACGTGACTTTTGAATCTCATTGGTCTGCCCGAGGCGAATCCAATCTCCTGACTACAACTAATCTATTGCCCAACACATGAGGCGTCATATCTAGATCAGTCTGCCACTTTCAGCTCCGCGTATTCAAACGATAAATTATAATAACCGCGTAACACGGATAGCACAATAACAACACGCCGGCGTTTTGGACTACACACTACATAGGGATAGACAAACTACACACTATAAACGGATAGACACACTACATACGGATAGACCTAGCAGAACAATAACACACCGGTGTGCTGGACTACACACTACACACGTTGGACACACAGGACACAAGGTAAACGATTTTGTTTCGATTTATTTTATTTCCGCTTGACTAAATTTTCATGCGAGGTTCTCTTCCGTTATGCAGTACCAAACCCATATCGCACAAAGGTCGTTGCTTTATCTAGCATTAGGTTGAGCATTAGAATGAAAATATTTAACCTAACCATAAACACTTGAAAACTTCAAACACATGGACGAGTTTTCAATTTTCTTGAACGTTATTGGAGATTTCTGTTGGGTTAGGTGTACCCAAACAACCATTTCAAAGTCTCACATAACTGAAGAAAACTTTAGCATTGACAAAAAATATTCTTTCAAATCAGAACAGTGAAGTTCAACGATACATTGTTACGTAACGGTATCGATACTAGTATCGCTGCAGGTGCAAAATTAGAATCAGTCAGGTATTAGGTTAGTATAAATGGCCTCTACTGTGTGTCCACTACTATAACAAACAACAACACTCTAGCCTTAAACTTAACCTAAACCTTAATCAGTGTAGTGTAGTTAAGATTAACCGAATTTTACGCCTGACTGGCTGACGAATAAAAAATATATGTTCCAAAGTTAACCATCCCATTCATCCTTAACGTAGAGAGACGCTAATTGGTTGACCATAATTAGTGGACCGTAATTAGTTTACTGTAAAGCTTTTAGTTTAAGTACGAACATTTTAATGAGCTCTGTTAGTTTGGACGCAACTTGTTTTCATCTGGTTCAAAAATAAATACAAAATAAACCACTCGTACTCTTTACATCAGGTAGTGTACCAGGTGGGGGGGGGGGGGGGGGGGTTGGGGGGGTATAGAACGGAACGGAGAGGTAAACAAATTATACACATCCTGCGAACATCCAGAAATAGACATAACAACATACATATAACATCACTCAATACCTTAGCAACACAACAAAGTATTTAACTAAACATAACAACATATATATAACATCATTTAATATATTAACAACAAAAAATATTTAACTAAACATAACAAAATGCATATAACATCACTTAATATATTAAGAACATAATAAAGTATTTAAACATGACATGCTTATAGCAGAACTCAATATATTAAAATACATCAAAGTTTTTAACTAAGCATAACAACATACAATTAACATCATTTAAATTATTAACAACACAACAAAGTATTGTAACTAAATATAACGTGGTTGTAAATTTAACATTTAACAAAATAGAAACCATTAAACCTACAATTATATATCACAACTCTGGCACAACTAGTTCGATAAAACAACATTAACACAACAATGCTTTGCACGATTGTAGCAAAATATTTAAACTACTTTTTCTAAACAATTATAACCAACCATCAATGGCCCAAAATCAACATGTGTTAGTTTAATAAGAGCACCCATTACTAAAGAAAACTAGACAAGATATATTTCTAATTTCATCAGGAAAAAAAAACAACCCCTTCTTTCTTGACATAGACAAAGTTATTCCTGCTGTAGCCCTGTGTCTAATTTTACTTTCTTGCAAACCAACCTAATATTCAATTCACTACAGACTACTATATTGCCTTTGTGTTTAACAAAGAAAACCCAAATAAGTAACTAGGGTCTCTAAAATCCTTATTGTGTAAGTTGTTATGGATTCCCTACATCCTCTGAACTAAAGTAACATTATAAGTTCTATAAATATCATCGAACAAAGAACGACAACCCTTGTGGTATGTGATATAACTATTGTCATCAAAATTCTTAGCATTGTTCGCGATCTATTCCCGTACCATGTCAGATCAGGAATATCCTGTCAGTATTGGTGTACACAAGTCTAATTACATGGTGACTTACACACCGACTTACACATGACTAGACAATTCTAATTATATGGTGACTTACACACCGACTTACACATGACTAGACACGTCTGACTTACATGGTGACTTTAAAGATGACTGTAGACAATTCTAATTAAATGTTGACTTAACCATAGAAACATGACTTTACACATACATAGACTTGTAGACAAACCTAGGGTAAGCTAGGGTAAGAGCAAAATGTGTGTGTATGTTTGGTGGGGGGGGGGGGGGTATCAAAAGTCTTTGTGTTTAACTTTTAATTACATGTGGGAGGGGATCTGGTTAATCAAATAACCATGCATATTTGCTGAGCATGTAGGCCTGTAGGTTTACATACATCAAGATGCATACACATAACCATCAAAATATTCCGTTTGTTGCTACCCCCCGCTACAAGCTTGTAGCAGCATACAACTGACCGTTACACTATTCACAAACCGCCCACCTGGCATGTCCCCCCCATCCTTGCGTGTGGCGGAGATGCCAACTCAGCTAGTCTAGTGTTGTTCTCTGACGTCACTAATCACGCTCCAGTGAGCAGTATTGAGCTGGTGTCACGCTCCACTGGATGGCGAGCCAGACAATGATATCGATAGGACCAGATCTGGTGAAACAATACCATAGGCGTGGTACACTTCCATGTCCGTCTACAGCCACCCATTCAACTTATTCATCAGGATTCGCCCATGAAGAATTTGTTTGCATATGTACTTTATTGTGTGATATGAGTGTAGAATGTGTGTGTGTGTGTGTTATGAGTGTTATATATGTATGTTCGCGTATGTACACACAAAACGTTTAAAAATGTCCGAAAATTACCACCCTCAAAATATATCACATCTAAAGACTCACGCAATCTATTGGTACTTTTAAAACTGTGAATTTAAAACATACATTATTGGAATCGTATTAAAAACGTTTGTATTACATTTTAAAAATTGTGCACGCTATACAAATAAAAAATAAACTTGTAAGCTCGTCGGGTCAAATTTGCTATCCCACAACACTGCACAGAGCCTATGTATTGAATCTAATTCACCGGCAGTGTTATTTTAGACTAACCGCAATATTCACCAACACATCGTAATATAAGAAAATGATGACCACCTATACCCCTCTGACTTTGTGTTATAGAATATGTGCACTATCCAACATCTTGTGATACATACGTGTAATAACTTTATATTGACAATTGTGTTGGCCCTGTTTGATGGGCAGTTCTCTCCCTTTTGATCTTTCTCCCTCCTCCCCCCCCCCCCCCCCGCAACAAATGTGAGAGACCTGTTGATGCATATCATGTTTGTTGCCTTGATGTAAATCACACACGATAACACGACCTAGTGCTCTACCCTTTACCAGACGAGATAACTCGCCCTACTGCCCTAGTGTTTAAGTACTCTCTACACCTTGATACCACGCGTATTAAAATTAAAGTCTCGAACATACCCCACCCCCTTCCCACCACTTCAAACCATAACACAGTGCGCGCCCCTGCCCACAGGTAAAGCCCAGTTTTAATCGGCCCTGTGTTTACGTTAGGCACTAAAATCTTCGAGAGTACGGCGAACAATGGTTGAATTTTGGCCCCATAATCTCTAAACAGACCGGAAGCGTGTATTAAGAAAACAACTCATGCCTTTTGTTCGTCCCTTTACTGGTAGTGTTCTTGTTTTATTTCGCTGGTGTGTTGGACGCAACACTAAGGATGCGGTGGTTTTATTATCGCGTGTTGTGGTGTTGTGTTGGATAATGTAAACATTGTGTCACGTGATCTAGGATGTAAACACAGGTGTGTTGATAGTGTGTGGCTAGTATGTGGTTAGTATGTGGCTACTGTGTGGCTAATATGTAGTTAGTGTGTGGCTAGTATGTGGTTAGTGTGTGGCTATTATGTGGTTAGTGTGTGGCTATTATGTGGTTAGTGTGTGGCTATTATGTGGCTAGTATGTGGCTATTATGTAGCTAGTCTGTGGCTAGTCTGCGGTTATTGTGTAGCTATTTTATGGCTAATGTGTGGCTAATATGTGGCTATTAAGCACCTAGTGTGTATCTCATACCAAATTGTGTTGCGGGTATTGTTTGAATAATTTAGTGGCCTTGAGTTGTCTACCTTCGTGACCCAGTAATAAAATTCTATCTAAGGTGTTTAAGTCTATTAGCTGTCAAACTTGTTGACGCAGCACTTTCTGACTGACCACTGACCAGTGTAGGATTACTAACAAACCTCAGCACATTTTGTTAGTGAAAATTTTTCCAAAGTCCCTGTTGTTTTGGATAACTCGATGTAAATCTTCCATCAGGTAATTCGATGTATGAATGATTTAAAACCTATCAACTTTAATATCAAGAACACAGACATCACAGAACGTACGCCCATGTCCCTGTAGTAAAGTATCTACGTCCTTCTCTATACCATAAACAAATGATCGCTTTATATCATAACTTTAAGCACGAAACACACCTCTCTATCTTCATTATATTACCAGGATTATAGGATACCCTTGTGTGGCATTCTCAACAACCCCCTTATAACACATATACCCTCTACAACATACACCTTTCTACCATAAAATCTTTATATCCATTGATATCATTGTTATCTGCTATACACTACCCCCTACATAAACAACTGTGCTGTTAGCCCCCCCCCCCCCCCCTCCCTCCCACCAGCCAGTCAGAAGCACACACAATTTCCTTCTATTCTTACATATCGTATCGATTTCTCCGTCAAAAACAAGAAGTATCGATCCCTTAGTTCTCTCCTATGCTACATGTATGAATGAATCTAAGGGATAAATCTTGTATTCGGTATGTACTTTCTAGTTCTGTCCTATGCTAAATGTATTAATGTATATAGGGATAAATCCTTCTACTTGGTATGTATTTTTTATATTTAGTGTAGTCAAATACATCTTCTGTCAGACAGACATGTAAGGTTGATTGTCTCATCTGTCGTATGTTTAACATTATTTGTGTCTTATTTAAACACTGTGTCATAGTTTCACACCGTGTCATTATTTAACATCGTGTTATAGTTTAACATAGTATCATGAGTTTAACAGTGTATCAAACGGTTGAACACTCCTATATATCTATGCCACTTGTAATATCCAGGACAACCTGACGTCTGATTTGGAATGTTATGTCTGCATAACCAGAACTGTTGACACATACCACCAACCCC